TCATGCTCCGCTCACTTGTGAACAAAACACTGAGATATTTGAACTTTTATCACTTAAGGCAGAATCTCACGCCCAACCCAGAGAGGACTGAAGAAGTCTTTTGGATGAAAGATGAAACTTTTCTACATTTTATTTTATTTTATTTTATTTTTTGAAGTCCAGAGGACCAGACTTAACTTTTATAGACAGCCTGAGGACCATGCAGATCTGGAGGTCCTGATCCTCATCTCATCTGCACATCGTTCCAGTGAGAGCTGGAGATTACAACACAATCACACCAACAGGACCGAATCATCTGCAAACATCAGAGACAGATTCCTGAGGCCACTGAACCGGACCTCCTCCACCACCTGGCTGCACCAAGAAACCAGTTTTAAACTTTTCACAAGCTTGTGGCACATGGAGTCCTGTTAGTAGGAGAGTACTGTGCTAACTTTAAAACTTGACCTTGAAATGTAACCTAAACTTTGGACCAATCATTTCTAATAAACCCAACAATTTTCAGTCAGGTCATCTGGACAGTTTCTTTCTTTTTGCTGAAACGTTTCACCTTCCATCCAGAAGGCTTCATCAGTCAAGGAAGCACACAACACAAAACTGATTCTTCCCCTAAACAACTTACTCCAAAGTGGAACAAACCAGTTATGTTGGTGCTAAGATGGTGTCTTTGGCACACCCCCACCTCTGTTGCAGGCACTCTTCCTCTTCCTTCCTTTTTGATTTCTAATAAACATTTGTTAAATGGGAACATTATTACCACCTAGTGGACCAGAGTGTGAAACAACTTGTAAACCTTGATTTAACCTTTATTAATACATAGAGGCACAAGGACTCATTTTCAAGAGAGACCTGTTTATGAGCAGATGGTGGGGGTTAAGAGCCTTGCTCAAGGGCTCAGAGTGGGGCAAATGAGGGTGGAGCAGGTGTGGGCGTTTCACCATTTCCGCCCACACTTTGATGTCGTTGGACCAGGGAATCGAACCGTCGACAGTCTGATGGCCCACCTTCTCTAACCGCACCGCACCGCCACCACTCCCACCTTGACATGAAACATCTTTATTAAAAGTTTTTTCTTCATCTTAACTTGACTGTTGTAAATACTTCTTCAATTCCTGTTTTAAAATCTTTTTTAGGAACCTGTTTGTTCTCACTGTTGGTTTCTTAATACTTTGTACAACGTTTACCTTTTACTTCTTGTTACATCTATTTATTAACTTGTTTTTATTTTCGCCTTTGTTTTTTATATAATAATATTGTTGTTGTGCAGCACTGTTGATTTTAAATAACTGACTGGACGTTACTCCTTCTGTAAGTCTGTCTCTTTGGGAACCACTTTATCGTAAAACGTGACAAACAGTCCCGAATCCTCTCCCACAGTTTCACTTCAGGTTAAAACAGGTCAATTAAAACATATTGAATTCACCCATAAACTGGTGTTTAATTAATTTCACAAGTCAGTGTGTACCTGAATGCATCACCTCTAAAAACATTTATTTTCTGGTTGACATAAAATGAGCACTTTAGTTCTGATAAACT